TTCTCTCTGGCTGTCTCTCTCTGTCAAATAAACAAAATCTTTAAAAAAAAAAAATTGTCAACAATTGTATCATGGTCAAAAGGCAAGATTTAAATTCATTGAGGTATATGTACATAAAGATTGGGCTAAAAGATATGTCAGTTTGTAGAAAAATAGAGCTGTACATTCAGAAAAACAAAGATAATTGTGGTTCATAATGTGAGCTGTCTGCCATCCAATCATCACTAATAACATGAAATAATGACTGATAATTCCAACCTTAGAGTCACTCCCCTTGGATTTGGCAACATTTCCTGGAAATATTCATAGGCATTAGGAATGGGGATTCCCTGGTAACATTTTACTTATTTAAGATTTATTTATTTGAGAGAGAGAGAGAGGGCACACTCGAGCGCAAGTGTGGGGGAGGGACAGAGGGAGAAACAGCCAGCGGATGCAGGGCTTGGTCTCAGGACCCAAGAGTCAGAAAATTAACCGACTGCACCACCGAGGCACCCTCCGGTAACATTTTAAAATGTTCTTTACCACAGATCTCTAATCATGTTTGGTTGATAATAAGCTTTTCATTGTTCAAAGGTAGAGATTTAGTATTCAGTATTTCATTAACTTATTTAAGCATAGTAACTTTTTAAAAAGTACTATTAAGTACTAATGGTGTGCCTGGGGGCATAATTTTCAAAACGCTGGGTAGAGATATGTCTCTATATTCAACATGCATATACAGTAACCTGGAGAAGTAACATGCTGCCCTATCGCAATGACATATTTTACTATACAACTCAAATTACTGTCTTGTGTTGTATTTAATTCTCAAACCTAAACTTGTATGGGACAATGGTGTTAACTGTCAGATGATGAATGACTGAATAGGATACTGGATTCCCCATCTGCAATAAATGGACATAGAAGTGTTCATTATAAGGGACAATCACAGTGACATCATAGATGATTAGTTGACACTGGGTGTGATTTTCCACAATCATTCTTATTTGGAAGGTACTGATTCTTTTATAGGATTGAACACTAATTGTGGAAAAACAGAGTATTTCATCAAAACTAGTATGATTTGATGCTGGCACTTTCTTGACAATGCCAGAAAATACAGAGGAAGTTATTTTAAATGACTAACTTAAGACATTTATCTGCCTGAAAGGAAATGAAAGTAGTTATCAATTGTAAATAGCATCCTGATTTAGAAAATGGTAAAATGTGGCAGTGGGGGCAAGTTTCCATTTAGTATTGAAGAAATCAGTTATCTATAATTCAACTCATTCCTAAAGTTAAATAAAGATTAGAAAAACTAATGAACCTAGATCACAGGTTGGCCAACTGTTTCTTAAAGGCCAGTAGTTAAGAGCAAATAGTAAATATTTTCAGCTTATGGGGCATACGGTCTATGTTACAACTAGTCAATTCTGCTTTTGAAATGAGAAAGCACCTTTAGATAATATGTAAATGAACAAGTATGGCTGTTTGAATAAAACTTTATTTAGAAAAATAGGTGGTTGGCCCACAACCTGTCATTTGTTGCTTTTTTCTAATCTTGAAAGTACCAGATCAATTGTTTTGTCATTCATCAAGATTTATAATGAAACCACAAATTAACTCTTAGATATTCTAAATTAATGCTTTCTAGTTTCATATTTCTTTTGGTAGATCCTTTGTTTCAATTGGTATGTAATGTATTTAGATTTTCTATGCTTAATTTCACATGGAAGACTCATTTTGCTTTTGATTTTTAGGACCTATTAGAGATTTGTTATAATTATATAATCCATGTAGCAATGAGCTAGAAAGACTCTGTTAGAAATAATTCCTTAACTCTTACCTGAATATGTGCCATAGTGCTGTTTTTATTTTTATTTTTAGATTATTTATTTATTTGACAGAGAGAGTGCATGCACACATAAGTAGGCATAGTGGCAGAGGGAGAGGGAGAAGCAGGCTCCCTGCTGAGCAGAGAGCCAGACATGGGGCTCGATCCTGGGATTATGACCTGAGCTGAAGGCAGATGCTTAACTGACTGAGCCACCCAGGTGCCCCCATAGTGCTGTTTTTAAAAGAAAAAGGTTATTTTCTTTTCATTTTCAAAAATTTAAATTAGGGGTGCCTGGGTGGCTCAGTCGTTAAGTGTCTGCCTTTGGCTCAGGTCATGATCCCAGAGTCCTGGGATTGAGCCCCGCATCAGGCTCCCTGCTCAGCAGGAGGCCTGCTTCTCCCTCTCCTACTCCCCCTGCTTCTCCCTCTCCTACTCCCCCTGCTTGTGTTCCCTCTCTCGCTGTCCGCTGTCAAATAAATAAAATCTTTAAATTAATTAAAAAGTGTCTGATATCAACTTAGGTTGATTTTGAGAAATTACATTTTTCCTAGGAATATAATACATTCTCTCTAGATTTCTAAATATGCTGGAATAAATTGAAGTATTTTCTTATAATTTAAAATTCTTCTTCCATATTTATGATTATATCCCCTTTCTTACTAATGATACTATAATATAATCATTCTTATTTTTACCTTGAGCAGATTTACCAAAGCCTATTTGATGTTAATATACTTCTAACAGGGATGCCTGGGTGGCTCAGTCAGTTAAGTGTCTGCCTTCAGCTCGGGTCATGGTCCCAGGGCTCTGGGATCGAGCCCCGTATCAGGCTCCCTGCTCAGTGGGGAGCCTGCTTCTTCTGCCTGCTACTCCCCCTGCTTGTGCTCTCTCTCTGTCAAATAAATAAATAGTATCTTAAAAAAAAAAAAAAGAAATATCCACATTTCAAAAAAAAAAAGATACTTCTAACAGAAAAAATTTAAAGTTAAAAAACATTGTTTCAAGACTTCAGTTTCATTTCTAAATCACTAAACTCTACTTCTAGATGTATTCATTGCTTTTCCCAGAAAAAACCCAAAGCTGTTAGAATTTGATTAATAATCAATAAGCTCTAGTAATTTTAGATTTATTAATTGCTTTTTTATATTGGCTTAGAATTTATGTCATTTTTAATTTCTAGCTTTGTAGAATTCTTATTCATTATTTTATCAATGCCTACTAAGTAGCAGACGATTGATACAATCTGGAGATAAAGCTGAGAACAGAAAGTTCTAGTCTTTATTTTTAGTTTTCTCCATGTATTGAAGAGTATTAAATTTCCAATGAGTATAACACTGAAAACATACCAAAGTTCTGGTGTATAAGCATTTCATTATCATTCCTTTTTGAATAGGACCTGATTCAATTTTCTATTTAATTCAGAACTTGTACATGAGATGATCAATTTGTAAAAGGAGGTGATAAAATATTACCATACAAATTAATAACTATAAAATGGATCTCTACAATGGAGAGATCTAGCAGTCACCACTATAACCAGTGTTAACATCCAGCATCATTAGTAGTGGGAAAACTCAACATTGTATGCTTTTTAATGTTCACAACACTGACTCAATGAAACCTCTTATTTTATTTATTTATTTATTTATTTATTTATTTATTTGAGAGAGAGAATGAGAGAGAGAGAGAGAGCACATGAGAGTGGGGAGGGTCAGAGGGAGAAGCAGACTCCCCGCCGAGCAGGGAGCCCGATGCGGGACTCGATCCCGGGACTCCAGGATCATGACCTGAGCCGAAGGCAGTCGCCCAACCAACTGAGCCACCCAGGCGCCCTGAAACCTCTTATTTTAACTTTGAATTTAAACTATTACAGATAGAAGAAAGGATAAATGACCCACAAGGAAATAATTTAAAAAACCCAGAAGGTGGGGCCATTCAGTAAGACAACTTTCTTGTACTCTACAAAAATCCAAAGTACTGAAAAAATGGTGGGGATATTACTCTAAAACAGGAACTGGCAAATTTTTTTGTAAAGAACCAGAGGGGATTATGCTAAGTTAAGTAAGTCAAGCAGAGAAAGACAATTATCATATGGTTTCACTCATATGTGGAACATAAGCAATAGCACGGAGGACCATAGGGGAAGGGAGGGAAAGCCAAAGGGGGAGAATCAGAGAAGGAGATGAACCATGAGAGACCATGGACCCCGGGAAACAATCTGAGGGATTCAGAGGGGAGGAGAGTGGGGGGAGGGGGTAATAGTGTGATGGGTATTGAGGAGGGCATGTGCTCTTATGAGCACTGGGTGTTATACTTAAGTAATGAATCACTGAACACTACATCAAAAACTAATTATGTACTATACAGTGGTTAACTGAACATTAAAAAAGAAAAAGAACCAGACAGTAAATATTTTAGGCTTTGTGAGCCATACAGCAGCCATTGCAACTATTAAGCTCTGCCAGAGAAGTATGAAAGCATCCACAGTATGTAAACGAATGTGTCAGTCCTCCAAAAAACTCATGTTTTAAATCCTCATGACTTTCATATTCTACTAGATTTTGCCCAGAAAAAAAATTACTTAAAATTCAAAAAGGCATAAATAATTACATAAGTAATAAAGCTTTTCTAAGTTCATTACACTCATATTGACTTGATCTCTTAATAGTTCACTAATAATACAAATAATAATATTAAAAATAGTATCTAAAAAATAGTATCTAATACTTACTGAACGGAGACTATGTTTAAGGTGGCTTTCCAAGTTTTCTACATTCCAAAAACAGCACTATAATGCAAGTACTATTATCACCATTTACAAATGACTCCCATAGGGATATAATATCTTGCCCGATGTCATACAGGCTGTAAAGAATCAAATGGCAATCACTATGGTTCTTGCATACTCGTTAGGTCAACAGGGGTTTTCTGTGGTATGAATTTCCTCAAATTTAACAATAACTAGGGCTGGAGAGCTTTTATAAATAAAGCATAAAAAACAAGGGCATTTCCACATTCTCTAAATTTTTCTCCATTATTAATATTCTGACAATCCATAAATAGAGAAATGCTAATAAAGGCTTCTCTATATTATATAAAAATACATTATAAATTTCTTAATATGAACATTTGAATCATAATGAAAAAATTCCAAACATTATTTACATTTTGAGTTCTCACTAGTATAAATTATTTAATGCCTTATAAGAACTGAATCATATCTAAAATCATTCCCACATCCCTTTCATTCACACTGTTTCTCAGTGTTATAAAGTTGATGTACTATGCATTCTCTACTGCATATATATGCCTTTCCACAGTCCTTATATTCATAAGCCTTCTCTCCAGTATGAATTCTCTGATGTACTTTAAGACTTGAACTAAGCCTAAAAGACTTCCCACATGTGTTACATTCAAAAGGCTTCTCACCACTGTGAATACTCTGGTGTCGAGTAAGTCGTCCATACACACTAAAAGCCTTCCCACATTCCTTACATTCATAGGGCTTCTCACCAGTATGAAATCTATGATGTACAATTAGTTGATGGTCGCTACTAAAAGCCTTCCCACACTCTTTACATTCATGGGGTTTCTCACCAGTATGAATTCTATGATGCACTCTAAGGCTTTCAATATGACTAAAGGCCTTCCAACATTCCTTACATTCATATGGTTTCTCACCTGTATGAATTCCCTCATGCCTAACAAGGTTTGAGGTGCGACTAAAGGCCTTCCCACATTCTTTACATTCATAGGGTTTCTCACCAGTATGAATTCTGTGATGCATTCTTAGGCTTCCACCATGGATAAAGGCCTTCCCACATTCTTTACATTTATAGGGTTTCTCACCAGTATGAATTCTCTCATGTTGAATAAGTGATGAAGCATGACTAAAGGCCTTCCCACATTCATTACATTCGTAGGGTTTTATGCCAATATGCAATCTCTGATGTGGAATGAGCTGATAACCACGACTAAATGTCATCCCACATTCCTTACATTCATAGGGCTTCTCCCCAGTATGAATTCTCTGTGTTGAACAAGATTTGAGGCACGACTAAAGGCCTTCCCACATTCCTTACATTTGTAGGGTTTCTCCCCAGTATGAATTCTATGATGTACTCTAAGATCTATACCACGGCTAAAGGTCATCCCACACTCATGGCATTCATAGGGTTTTTCACCTGTATGAATTCTGTCATGTTGCACAAGGTGAGAGGCTTGACTAAAAGCCTTCCCACATTCCTTACATTCATAGGGTTTCTCACCAGTATGAATTCTATGATGTATTCTAAGTCTTCCACCCTGACTAAAGGCCTTCCCACATTCATTACATACATAGGATTTCTCACCAGTATGAACTCTCCCATGTTGAGTAAGATGTGAGGCACGACTAAAGGCCTTCCCACATTCTTCACATTCATAGGGTTTCTCACCAGTATGAATTCTCTGATGAACTCTAAGGTCTATCCTACGACTAAATGTCGTTCCACATTCCTCACATTTATAAGGTTTTTCACCAGTATGAATTCTCTGATGTTGCAGAAGGTTGGATGCACGATTAAAGGATTTTCCACATTACTCACATTCATAGGGTTTCTCACCAGTATGAATTCTCTGATGTACTGTAAGGTCTGTATGTCGACTAAAGGCCTTCCCACATTTGTCACATTCATAGGGTTTCTCTCTAGTATGAATTTTCTGATGTAGAGTAAAAGACGAATGTTTTTTATAAATGTGTACTTTGTCACAGCTGATTATTTCATATCTTGACTCCAAATCTAAAAGAAAGGAGAAAAACATTTTGTTTTCCTGGACAAAATAAGTGACTGTTTTATAGTACATTTCTTTAAAAATTAAAAAACATTAAAAAAAATAAAAAACATGACCCATTAGAGATGAATATTTTAGAGAACTCTAAAATCAGCTGTACAGTTTGCCATAGTTACTGATAGTGTCTGCATAACTCATTACATGTTACTATAATTTAATGTATTCTCTCCAGTATCAGTTTCCATATAAAATATAGATATATTAAAAACTATTTTTTATACTGGATCTTTTAATCTGCAATTAAATCTTTTAATCTGCAATTAAAATTTCCCCTTAAAATATAAATATTGTGGTCATTCCCTCCAATGCATAGCCATGTGTGCATTTCTTTGATCTCATTTTAAATAAAATAATGAGAGTTCTTGTTTGTTTATCTTCACTGAGCTTTTTCTTATTAAGTACACATTCTACAAATGTTCCATCTGTTTTATTCCTTCATATCTTTTCTCAGGTCCTCTCTCACTTTCCCTTTTAACCAAGATTGACCATTCTATTAACTCCTATAAGTCTGTCAATGAATTTTCAGACAGGGACTAGGTATACACCCTAATGAAAATCACAGGGAATTCTGAGCATTTGGGTACTTTGAGGAAAAGTGAAATTGAACTATACAGTAAAGGAATCTGGAAAAAGAGTTTCAGGAAATATGTGAAAAAGAATGAACAGACGTAGCCTGCAGAATAACAACCAATATGAAGGAATATCTTGATTAAATTTATATGTGCTGAACAAGTGGGAAGACACTTGGGGGCAAGAAATACTACCTTGTGAGTAGAGTATGGTATGTGCTAAACTCTGAGATAATACAAACACTTTCTCTCCAAAAACAAGTAACAATAGGAATTAGTAACAATATCAGAAAACCAAAATACATTTGATAGGAAATGGAAATATCCTCTCCAGAATAAATACTGGGCAAGTATGGAAATAAAAAACTGAAAGGGTACAACAGAGAAAATAAGTACATACCTGAATTTGGGGCATTCAGTTTGAGCATTCAGAGAATTCAAAGACTTTAGTAATTATTGCCATTAAAAGGGAAGAAATAAATGAGTTCAAAGGAGCCAATTCCAAAACTTAAAAAAAAAACAGTAAAGAAAAAAAAACAAAACAAATTAAGAGCACAATGTAATGAGTTGAAAAGTGTAGTCTTAACAAGTAAACTAAAGAGCTGGTGCTTTAAAAATCAAGAAGTCAACATTAGCCAAACCAACAAAAAGTGGTAAAAATAAAAAAATAAGAAAGAAATGATTAAGGGGAGGGGCGCCTGGGTGGCTCAGTCGTTAAGTGCCTGCCTTTGGCTCAGGTCATGATCTCAGGGTGCTGGGATCGAGCCCCACATCGGGTTCCCTGCTCAGCGGGAAGCCTGCTTCTCCCTCTCCCACTCTCCCTGCTTGTGTTCCCTCTCTCGCTGTCTCTCTCTGTCAAATAAATAAAATCTTAAAAAAAAAGAAATGATTAAGGGGGAAATGCAAAACTAAAATGAATTTTATTGATATTATGAATACTTTGAATACATCACTAATACTTCTAGAAAAATTCATCAAAATTCCTCAAAAAAATCACTAAGAAGAGAAAGCTTAAACAGACCAAGTGCAATAAAATAGAAAATGTTGTAAAAAAAGATAGTTATAATGAGTATTCTTTAACTCCTAAATTATCATTTCTAAATATCAATGTCATTTATATAGATCCAGCATGGTTAAACAGTTTGGAACAGGGCAAAAAAGGTAAGCTTAGAAATCTTATGCCAAAAAGAATGAAAGAAATGAAAATGTCAGACTTACAGAAGTGTGACTGACCAACACTGTGAAAACAGTAGTATAAAAATGACTGTAATAAATATAAACAATATAATAAAAAAATGAGTCCACAATGATACGAGAAAATAAATGAAAAATAATTTCACCATTAAATAACTCTTTAATTGAAGAAGTTCTAGTTCTATCATAATGGTGTAAATCCCTTATAGTCGTCTCCCTCTCTGACTGATATCAACTAAAAATGCTTGGCAAAATAAAAAAACCCAAACACTTGAGGTCAGTAATCAGACTAAACCAAAGAAGGTATCTCTGGAAGGGTGACTGGCTGGCTCAGTAGATAGAGCAAGCGACTCTTAATCTCAGGGTTGTGAGTTCAAGCCCCACGTTGGGTGTGGAGCCTACTTAAAAAAAATTAAGTTAAAAAAAGAGCAGAGCAGAGGACTGTGGAGAGGAGTGAAAACTTTTAAAAAGTAAACTGCACTAGGGGCGCCTGGGTGGCTCAGTCGGTTAAGCGGCTGCTTTCGACTCAGGTCATGGTCCTGGGGTCCTGGGATCAAGCCCCACGTCGGGCTCCCAGCTCCGCGGGAAGCCTGCTTCTCCCTCTCCCTCTCCCTCTGCCTGCTTGTGCTCTCTCTCTGTCAAATAAATAAATAAAAATTTTTTTTTAAGATTTTATTTATTATTTGACAGGGAATGAGAGAGAGAGAGAGAGCACATGAGAGGGGGGAGGGGCAGAGGGAGAAGCAGGCTCCCCGCCGAGCAGGGAGCCCGATGCGGG